CGCTCGCCCAGCACTGTGAGCCGGCTGCTGATGACCGCCGTGCACAGCAATCCTGTGTATACAGCTGCGTCTCTTCACCCCTGTGTATAGGAATAACAATGCAGCTCTCGCCTACGTGAATATGAATAGCATGGCAGCTCTGGCCGTGAATAACAATTAACAAAAGCATTCCAAATCGCACCTGCATGAATAGAAATAGCAATGCTTTCTCACCGTGAATAGCAAAAGCATTCCAACTTTCACCTGCGCGGGTATAAATATCAACGCACCTCTCGCCTACGCGAATAGGAATAACACGCAGTTGCCGGCAATAGTGGCAATCGTCACCGTGCGTAAGGGCAGTCTGAAGAACGGGGTAGACTGGGAGGTAGGACTGGCAGCTCCACCGTCGCCCGTCCCGGCACCGACAGCACCGAGCGGCCACGACGCACGCACAACGCAGCCGGAGCGTACGGGGGTGGGTGGTCGACGCGACTCTGCTGGGCGTGCGAAGGAGACCCCCTCTGTGCTCAGAGTTTTGCATCAGTTGCCAAGCGCAGCCCAGAAGCCAGCAACCGAGAGCCTTGCTGATATAGTAGCAGAATTTATCAGGTGTTTTGAGCTAAGCAAGTTGGTTTATTGTAACTCGGAAAAGCGACAAAGGGAGGGAGTTACAGAATTTAAAAGCTGAGCAGCCTGACGAATGGAACTAGAGAAATGTGGTGATTGAACTCTGTATGGATGAGAGAAAACGGTGAAGTTCGTGGGGAACAGCGACTGTGGTAGTACCGATTAAAACAATGACCAAGAAGTGGCTGAATAAGGGCGAGTGTCTGGAGTGAATCGAAGCTGCTCCGAATTGTCCCCTGTCAACGTGAGCCTCGACAGAGACCATGGAGTCCCATGTGGGAGCCTGGGTCACTGGGCATCACCTCCCGCACTGCTCGGTCGCCCAAAGTACACCGCGGTGTTTGTTAAAGGTAGGAGGATCACACTTCCTCCTCCTCCTCAATGTGGCAGGCGCTGAATGCCCCTTTTCATTTCTGTGTTGGCTGAACGGAATAAAGAACTCGACTGAGAATAAGGAAGCTCATAGTCGTTTTGTGTAATGGGAAGAAGTGGGGGGTTTTGTTCTGGGAAATGTCTCTTGCAAAACCACAATGGTCATGCACCCACACCACTCGCTCCGTCTGTAAAGAGTTCTTGTGAAACCGTCGGAGTGGTAAGTGGCGAGAGGAACTTCTGGCTACCCAAAAAAACCCCTTTCCACGAAGCAGGTGGCGTGCACAGTAGTGGGAGTGGTGTAGTCTCTTCATTTTATTTATGACAATTCATCTTTGAAAATCCCTTGAGGTGGAACATCTCGTTTGCAAGGGTGTCCAGGGTGTTGATCGACACACGTAGCAAACGCGTAATATACCCCACCGCTTCTGTCCCGCCTAGTCACTGTGGTCTCCCGCGGTCCAGCGGACTTCATCCACGCGCTCGCCACGCTTCCCAGCCGCCGTCTCTGTAGCAGATGATCGTAGTCCGCCAGGGGCTGCCTGCGTGACCGGTATCGTGACACTACCTGGATTCGAACTCGGGTGCTTGGCGCTGCTGGCTCTTCGTCTCAGATACCGTTTGAGCCCTCTGAGCCACCCAAGCTGTCCTATGTCCAGCCTGAACCATAGGAATGCGGAGTTTCCATCACGAGCTCAGAGCTGTAACCGAGAGATGAGCACCAGTGCCTGGATGCTCGTGTGAGCAGCACATGGCTTTCACACCGAGTCGCCTGGCAGACTCGAGAGCCCACGTTGAGCCGCACGCGTTCAACAGCTCCACAGTGATTTCCGTATCATACTCATCGCTGTGCTTGACACAGTAAGCTGGCAGTGCGCTGTTGCAAGGAGCGTGTTTGATTAAATACATCGAGCTGACTGTGGTTAAGCCCATTGCCTCGTATTGTCCAAGGTTACATCGTGTGCAGGATTTGTAATGTGAGTTTCTGAAAGTTGATCGAGTACAGAATGGACACAAACGCTCTTTACTGATGCCGCCATAAAATAATTTACGGTCCCGACGCTCTGCCCTTATGAGCACGACGCATTCGTACACGTCGATAGCGATGATTCAGGGACCACTTGTGACTGTCGCACAGAAGGGTGGAGGCGGTGGTTGGCCACGGACTTTCTCTACGGGGGTGGAAAAAAAATTCTTCGTCTGCCAGTGCCAGGAAAAACGCTGCCGAGAATTATTGACGGAGTGGGCGATGATTAACAGCCGTGAGCCCTGACCGATGCCTCGGCGTGAGAACGTCTCTCCTCGCAGAGCGTTGTTCTGCACAAAGGCTGCCCTTTCGCTGGCCGCCCCTGCCAAGCGCGCCCACCGACGGGCACCGAGCGCCACGGCATTCATCGCCGAATGCCCCGACGCTGGCGCGGCCCCCACCACCTCTACCGGCATCTCGCCCCCGCACGGGCGCGTGGATCCTGGCACGGGTATCGATCGCCCATGAGGGCCGAAGGTCGCTTCCCACTTGGCGTGTCGCTTCCACCCCTTTTTTCGGCTCCGCAGTCAGATAAGGAGCCGAATGCTATTTCTCTTAAAGCGCACCGTGAGAACCAAGGCAGCCTGGAGATGGCACGCGTCGAGTGCCGATTCACTCCGAAGGTGGTCAGGACAGGTGCTAAGGGCGTGTCCGGATGCTGGTCTCACAATCCCGCTCGATCACGGCGCAGAACGGTTTTGGTTGCGGCCGTGGTGTCCTGCACATGACCACGCCGGGGCGTGTCCGTAACATAGCGTCCCACCTTCCGTCCCCTGCTCGCGTACAGTGAGAGGGGGCGTTGAGCGAGGAGTCCGGCCAGGCGAGGGCTCGCCGGAGCCAATCTGTGAATCGCGCATCCGAGCTCGTAACGAGCACTCGTCCTGTAAACGCTTCCCCTGGGCTCCCGCGCTGCCTCCTCACTGCCCAGATCACGCCCGCGCTACATTGGGGGCAGCGTGTTCACCAGCTGCTGCTACTGCAGGTGGCCTTGCTGTCTTGAGGGCAGAGGGAGCTCTTCCGTTCTTAAGTTGGGACGGGGTCTGAGAGCAAGAGCGTGGTGCGAGGAGGGCCCGAGAGGCACGAGCGCAGCCTGGGCGCTCGCCACGGTGGCGCTGCACCTCGGGTTAGCACGGTTGGCCACGTACGCTGTGAAAGCATTTCAACGTACATTCATACAAAGCTGTCCTTATCGAGCCAGCCACATATGAAGAATGACAGAGCTTGCACAATTATCGTAGATTTAGTATTATCCCCTAATGATGCATGGGTCCTCTCTGGGTACTCTGGTGTCCTTCCACATGGACACTCATTCATGGAGTTTGCCGAACGTCGCAGTGTAGGACCTCAGAGCTTGGACATTTACTTCACCGGATGTGGCAGCCTTCCCGCTTGCCTCTGGCTTTCCACACAAGCGGCCTTGGTGCGAAAACCGTGCACGTTACAAATTCTGCAGCATTTCGAGGCGTGATTGCACGAATGTCGACGCTGTTTAAAAACAAAGTTTAAAATATAGTGTGGCCACCTGTCCGTGGTCACCCCGTGACTCGCTGAGTTCCGGCGCGAGGCAGTTCCCGCGACGCCACAGAGGGGTTTAGCCGAGCTCGGGTGTTCATCGTCGTGCATCCGCCGCGTCGCCCCCGCGCGCGGGGCCGGAGCTGGCTCCGCGCCAGCAGCGATGATTCGCGCCGACGTGCCAACGGCTCTAACGCGACAGCCAATAACCTCGTCCACTTATGGGCGCCGTCGATGGGCGGCGGGAGGGCCGGGGGCCGCTCGCTGGCAGTCCAGCCGCACGGCGATGATGCCCCCCACCCTGAACTCGTCGTCAGGGGAGGGCAGCGCCGTCTCACTCCGCAGCCTCCCGCACGTGGAGGAGGAGCGCGGCGACAACTGCGGCCAATGCAGCGAGGAGGCAGCTCCAGGCGTGAAATCAATCGGCGGCGTTTCAACAAAATACAGGAAATGCAGCAAAACGCCGGTACCAACGAGGCGTTTGAGAGCGAGAAGTTGGTGCAATTGCTTGTAAGGGGACCTGTGCACCGACGTGACATCCCCGCTGGAACCCTGCAGCTCTTGCAGTGATAGCGAGGCATTGCATCAGCAATTTGTTCATCACGGAACATTTATTGTAAATGCTTGTGCAGTGTTTTCCATTTATCCTGTAATGCGGTAATTTATTGCTCCGATATTTTTTTTGTTATCTCTACTACGATTACTATTTGCTTTATTGCCTTACTTTTATGTTGTGTTATGGCTTTTATCATTTTGGTGACCTGGATCAGTCTTGCAAATGAGACTCTATTTCGGCTGCCTGGGCTTCTCACCACCGGGTTCCACAACATCAACTCGAACTTGCGTTGCCTCCTTTCCGCCTCTCCTACTCAGTACTTTGGTGATGGGCATTCTTCTGAAGTCTCTCGCTCGTGCTCTGTCTATCTGTTGACAAACTTTACGTCACTCGCCTCTCTTCGTCTCGCTCTACGGATGTTTCCTGCCAGGCAAAGTGCTTTCATTCATTCTCATCACTCCCCTGGGACTCTCTCAGCCACCTCCGAATTCCTCCCCCAATCACAACGACTTCCTTTGCGAGTCTCATGGCGCCTACTCGACGCTCCTGGATCTCACAGCAGCTTGCAATGTCGATTCATTAAAATGAAAACCAGATAATGATCATTATACATGTAACCAAGCATCGATACATTGATTACAAAAAAATGTTACACTCACAATACATGCACTGATTTGTGTAAGACTCACTGAAGATATAATTTATACAATATATATGCAAAGGATTCACTGTAACATCTCTATATCTAAATCAGCTCAAGGCTCCCGTGAATCACGTGCCTTCTTCTGTGTAGCTACCCCCACTCGGAATCCCTCCCCTCTCATCGAGGCCCTGATGCAGCCTCTGCCTCCATATCCTCATCTCTCATCGACCCTTGGCTTCTGTTGTTCTGTTCTTTTTCCATTGTGTGCGTGCGGTGCCCAGGTACGACGCGGGGAAGGATGGATTCATCGACATGATGGAGCTGAAGCTCATGATGGAGAAACTGGAAGCCCCACAGACCCACCTGAGCCTCAAGAACATGATCAAGGAGGTGGACGAGGACTTTGATGGCAAGCTCAGCTACAGAGAGGTGCCCAGCCCTGACGCACACGCTCGCACACGCACCCATGCACACATATGCTCACACACATACCCACATACGCACACACACACACACACATACCCACATACGTACACACACATAAGCACGCACACGTGCACGCACGCTCACGCACATAACAGCTCGTCGATCTTATGCTCACGATCCGTGAATGGCATTGTGCAAGAAGGATAATCTTGGGTTTGTGCAAAAGATGCACTGGGTGTTCCATTTTTTTTATGTAGTTTGTTGAGCACACCTCGATAAAAGTTAAAACTGATACGTGGGTAAACACGTTTATTGAATTGAGCGAGGTTATTGTAATCGCTTGGGAAAGGAGACGGTGACACTCACAGCAATGACGGTCTCTGCCACCTGCGTCTCCTCTGCAGTTCCTTCTGATTTTCCGCAAGGCAGCGGCGGGGGAACTCGCGGATGACAACCCGCTCATGGCGCTCGCTCGCCTCTCGGAGATCGACGTCTCCACCGAGGGCGTCAAGGGCGCCAAGACCTTCTTCGAGGCCAAGGTGCCCCCCCACCCAAACTCTCCGTCCTCCCACCCGTCACCACACACGCTCTCGCAGGGCCCGGGGAAAACCCACGATGCACACGAGGAGGGATGGCAGCCAGGATGGCAGCCGCAGCTCCACGCGGATCGCAGGACCCGTCGCCGCACTGCCACCTGCAGGCCGCGCGCCGTGCTCGCAGTCCTACAGCCAGATCAGGGGTCGGCGACCAAATTAACAAGAGCCTTTTTTCGAATTAGGTAAAAAACTCAGTATTTAAAAATCCGCAATGGTAATAAATAACTTATCGAAGGATTCCTTAAAGAGCCGCGGGTTGCTGACCCCTCATCCAGGTGCTAGCTACCCAGGCAAAACCCTGGGGAGCTTGCGAGACCTCCCGGGACGTTCCGTCTGCGGGTGACTGTAGCCCGGTTTTGCGGCGCTGGTCGTGAGTGGCAGCGGCGGCCGTCGCCAGGCAAACGTCGCCGTCGCACCGCACCGCCCCGTTTTGTCTGCCGTGCAGCCGGCGCTGCCTGGTGCCATGGGCAGACACCGCCATCCCCTTGGCTCGCACGTTGTGCGAGAAGCAACCCTCGGTGGGGCGCAGGTGGGCACCGCCAAGGGGATCGCGTCGGGTCCCTCAGGTGGCAGCACGCGCTGGGGAGCGGTCAGGCGATGCGATCAGTCACGATCAGTCACAATCAGTCACGATCAGACTTGCGTCTCGCGAGCGCTTGTCCCACCCGGCGGGGTTCACGCTCCGAGCCGGCCCCGGCCCTCTGCAGCCTTCGATCTCCATCATTACCTCTGCAATAACGCCGCCGCTGCACACTCTCACATCCTCCCTCTCTCTTTCCTTCAACTTTCATGGTCTCTCCCCTCTCTCTCTCCACTCTCTCTCCTGGCTCTCTCCTCTCTCTGCTGTCTTTCTCTCGTGCCCCCCCCCCGCCACCCCCTCTTGACCCACGCAGGTCGAGGCCATCTCGAAGTCGAACCGCTTTGAGGCGGAGATCAGGGCGGAGCAGGAGGAGAAGAAGCGCGAGGCCGAGGAGAAGAAGCAGCGGCAAGCGGCGTTCAAGGAGCTGCGCTCGGCATTCCGGCCATGAGCGTGCGCTCGGCGCCACCCATACCCCTAACCCCAAGTACATCCCTATCTCTTCCTAATCTCATCCTTAACCCCAAACCCAACCCTGTGTCTAACCCCAACCCAATTCTTAAGTCCATCTCTCTCCACCCTCCTTGTCCCACGCATGGCCATCCTCCGCCTATGAACACATCCATTACCATTCATGTGCCCCATGAGCCCGAATATCAAATCTGGTTGACAGCAGCAGCAGTGTTTTTCATGAAAGTGCCATTGGGAATGGGACTTGGACGCACGGTGGGGAGGGATGGGACACGTGGCGGTGGCGAGGGGGATAGGGACTCCACGGCGTGGCAGGGGGCTGGGACGCGTAGGGAGACCGTGTAGCCGAGTGCTCCGGCATGGGCGGACACTGCGAGCGTCGTGACGTGAGACCGAGGGGCGAGGGAGTCGTCTCTGTTTTGGCCGCACCTCTTTTGGGGGTTTTTTAGACAAGAGCTGGAAGCCCCAGCCGCTGCTGCTGCCACTGACACCTCCCTTGGTTTATCGCTGTGGCTGCTGTCGAAGCCGCATGCGTCACACGTCGACTATGAATGTTACAACTACGCACTGCATCGCAAACACCGCACCGCCATCGCTTGCCACGCAATGGGCACTGGCCTAAGGGCTCCGTCGGTATACAGTTGCCACCTGGCTGGGTTTGACCCAAACACAAATGCCAATTCCCAGACTGTCCGGGTCAAACCCAGGCAGCACTGTGTTTGGGTGGCAGGAATTGATTTGAACTTTATTGCAGTTACCCGGACAGTGTTGAGAGATCTAGGCCAACTTGCAAATATGTGCAGATTTGGTCTCCAGTGAAACGGTGGCAATCCTGTTTCTCTATAAATTATGGACTCATTCCCATACTGGTGAAAATAAATCCTTGGTCAATGCATACAGTGGCAAATTCCCTACCTTGCAATTCACAACTCCCCCCCCGACCACCATCCATAACTCAAGGCCTCGCCACCTCTACGGGAATTGGGTCCTGTGTGTGTCTTGCATTTGTACCCCGGTCTTGAGGTTAGGAGGCAGGGCCGTACCGATCAGCGAGACAATCGTGGGCAAAACGCAACGAGCCAAATTCCTGTGGCACTTGCCAACAAAGATCTCAACCCTTGTAGGTTGGGCTGCTTGAATCTGCATGGCTCTGTTTACGTGAGGTTTGATGTGCATGTGGGTTCCACAGGAGAGCACTCGTATCCACGATTGCCGGGGAGCGGCGGTGTTCTGGGCGCGCTTTGCCCGGCGGTCGCCCCCCACCCTGCGCTCAGGCTGGGCCCTGCCGCCCACGCCCGCCGCTAAGACGCCGCTCCCGCGTCAGTGCCCACGTTTTGGCCAGTTCAGAACTACCATACCAAATGTTACCTAACGTGCCCTGGTCAGAGTGTGTGAACCCACGCTGGGATTAACAGCAGACCAGATCCGCGAGCCAGTATTCATTCCACTGCGGTGACGTCTGCATCACGTTTTGCGTGGTCTCGTTAAAAATCGGTGCCGCGAGGACAACAGCAGCACAGACGCCGGGGTCCACGTCTGCTTTGAGAGGCGACGCTCACAGCCCCCAGCTAGGGGGCAGTGGTGGGGTGAGTGTTGGGTCGCCACTTCAACAGGACCCCAGTCTCACACCCCGCACTGGACTGGGGTCAGGGTGAGGGTCACTGGTTATAATCCGGCATGTGATGATTCATATTCCCCCACCCCACGATTCCACATCACAATCGGGGGTCATGGTAATTTGATTCGGGAATCGGAGTCTGTTAATTTTGTTTCGTCTCGTATTTACAGTTACGTTTGGATTGCTTCTCGTTTGTCATCTCATTCACTTGAACAGCCCCGTCGGGCTCAACGTAACATTTCCAAAACGTTTGTACAAATTATGAATAATCGGTCTGTACATGTACGGCGCTATGCATGTATCGTATAAATCTATTTTATCTGATTGACTATGGAATCGTTGCATGCCTAGTCGGGGTTTATATTCTGTGCCGGGTGTATCCCGGTTGGAGGGGTCCCAGTCTCGAGAATGTGCAGCCCGTCCGCTCGACCACTGCGATGCGCGCGGCGCCACGCTGGGTGAGCGGCTCCTCGCGAGCGGGCCGGATCGAGCGTGCGCAAGGCGAGATGACCGTGCGCTGTAAAGGGTCATCGGTGCCCCCACTTGGTGTGCGTGTAACGTGGGTGGCTGCGATGGTTGTGGTCTTGGTGATCGTTAAAGAAAATATTCGAATATAATTTTTTGTATGTAAAAATAATAATAAATGTTTATCAATATTGCTCTATGGGTACCGGAAATGGCTGGCGAGAGCCGGGTGTCTCGTGATTCCTTTTCAACCGCTCCGGGTCGGGTTTGAGCTTCATCCCATGTCTGCCTCACTTCCCCATCAGCCGCGATGCTACACGTGGATCCCCCCAGGGGTTCGACAGGCCCTGCACGCGCTGCTTGGAAGGACCAGAAACGCCCCGTCCCGACGGGCGTGGCACAGTGCAGGTGGAGCTTCACAAACAGAGGTGCAGGAGGACGAGAGGCCGCTGAGAAGCCACGCGGCCAACCCAGCGTGACCCCCTGCGGCAGGGTCCTTGTGTTGATGGGCCATGTGCCAGAGGGCTTGGGAGTGGCCCACCCTGAGGTATGGCCCCCCGAAACATAAAGTGGTAGATTAGTGAGAGGAGAGACCTGGAGACCAGATACATGCCGGTGAGATGAGAGATGAATAAGGGAGAGATTGGAGAGCTATCGACATCCAGGTTCGTGGTCACAAGCACAGATGTTACATGACCCACCAGCGCGTCAGGTTTTTCATGTGGCCCTGGAAAATGTAGCTGAAGATCCCTGCTCGAGATTGGATCAGCGGCAAGGTGGCTCTGCACGACGCGAGGAAGCGGCACGGTTGGGACGGACCACACTCGAGACTTTAATTGCATTGCAGGGCGAGCCACAGGTGCCACGGTCGGACGTGGGCACGCGGCACACCGTCACTCGCGACGAACGAAACCTACAGATCACATTCATTTAAGCAACGCATACGGTAAACAGAAAATGCCACTTGTAGGCAGTTAGTGCTTCGCTTCGGGCCAGTTCATTAGCAGAGAACCGCTGGAGTAATTTAGATCTTTGCTCTTAACATCCCTGAGTAATTTCACTGTCGCATGTGCTGCTATTCTGCACAGCAGTAGCGAAGCTGGCTTGCAAGCGATGAGAGATGCCAGACTTTGGCCGCGTGTGCCGGCGGCGATGATGACCGCGGAGGCGATTGGATTCGTAGCCGGATCAAGCGGTGCGAGCCCCCCCCCCCCCACACCGCGTCGACTCGTGTCATCGCTGAGACTCCGTGAGCGTCCACTAGACGCCACTCTCCTCCTCCGCCACCGTCACGTCGAACAACGACAGGTCCATGATGCCGCGCTCCACATCGACAGCCGATCGGCGCGAACAGCCGATCGACCAGGACCTCCGACCTCAGGTACGAGGTCCTCTGACGGCAGACGGTGCCCGAGCCCTCGCAGGTGGCCTGCAGGAACACGGCGAGCTCCACGTGCTCGTCCGGCCACCTCCGCTCTCGCAGCAGCGGCAGCAGGGGGCTGTCGGGGCCCAGCTCGTGGTGGAAGGTCAGCGGGAAGAGGAAGTAGGGGCAGGGCCGGGCCCCCAGCCGGTCCAGCTGGAAGTCGACGGCGCTCTGGCGGAGCGGGCGGCCCGGCCGCGAGCGGTAGAGCACGGCCGTACACGGTCACGTCCAGCAGCGCCGACGGGCGCAGGTTGGCGACGCGGAACGCGAGGAGGCGGCGGCGGGGGCGCTGATCCCCGCGGCCCCCCCACACCACCGCCGCGCCGCTGAAGCGGATGGTGCCGGCGCGCAGCTTGGGGCGCGCGATCTTGGCCACGAACGCTCCTGGGGGCGGCACGGGGCGGATCAGCCGGCGGGGTAAATTCATCATTGTCGTTTATCTTACCACGATTGCCACACCGAGTCAGAAGATGTTCAGGAGGGTCCCGCTACATCGGGATGTTTGGCTCAGGGGGGCCGCATTCGCCCAATGAAGCCAAACTGCGATTGTGTTCAACATCGACCCGAAGCTTCTGTCTCTGCTCCATTTCTCATCGTCCCCATTAGCGAGCAGCATTTCGTTTTATTCGTCACATTTCCCCGACTTGAGCACTGCCCCCGTGTTTACCCCGAGGGCGCTCTCCGGTGCCAAACCACGAGACCAAGAACCCGTTGGGAACTCGCAGTCCCGTCGTAGATCGCTGACAAACTTGAGAAACAGGTGACCGCCTGACAAGGTTTATCCAAATGTATTCTGATGGCGACCCGAAGAAAAGAGGACCACACAAAGCAGTTCTTCAGGAACTGTCGACGGTTTCTGCATCCTGCACAGAGGCCGAGTGTGCCTGCTGCTGTACGCGTCTTAGGTGGCGTGCGTCTAACCTCGCATTCACGAGCACGGCCGTGTCACGTACCTCGCCCCCCCCCCCCGCACGCACGAACCCAGAGGACCCCGCGGGTCTGGGCACGGCTCCAGCCACGGGCGGGGGCGGCTGCTGCCCCCAGGCGCCGAATCCACGGGGGAGGAGAAGGAGGGGGGGGGGCTCCCTTTTCCCCGCAGCTCCCGAGGGCTGGAATTCCGGGTGGCGTGGCCGAGGCCTCGTATCGCTTGTTGGGCCGTGTCTCGAGTCTCGTGTCCGTGTCACGAGTCTCGAGTTTGGCCTCCGCGGGACTCGCGCCCTGGCGAGGCTTCACCCCTCCCTTCGCACCGCGACCGCGCCGAGACGTCCGTCGATTATAAATCGATTTATAATCGATTATAAATCGATTACGCCGCGGATTTTACGACGACGGTGGCGTTGGCCTTTGCTGGCGACTCAACCCGCCGATCCTGCGCAGGCGGCGGCGTCCCCGCGCCCCGCGCGTCCCCGAGGACACCCGCTCGGAGGCGCCAGGCTCGTGGCATCGTTCAACATCCAGGGCGCTTCACAAAGATGATGTCCACACACTTACATGGGACTATCGCCTTGACGGGGAAAGAACGAACACTGTAACGTGATAACCAATGTATGTTAATAGCTTCTAAAAGTCACAGAGTCTCTTCCGCTTGTTCCGCCATCGTCGTCAGCGCGTTGCCTGGGATCTCCTCCAGCTGGTCTCCGGGGCCCGGAGGGGCAGCGCGTGTCTCGCGGTGTCGTCGCTAATTCTCAGAAATGTAAAAAAGAGAATTTGAAGCATCCTGTAGAGGTGTTTTGGGTTAGATCGCGTAAATATAAATGTGTCGTTAAACCCTGCCACCACCCGACACAGCCAACTAGTAAGGGTTGTCACGTCAACAGAACGTGGCCAATTTCGTCACTTGTACAGCACTAGTGTTTAGTGTAGTGTATAGTGTAGTGTATAGTGTAGTGTATAGTAGTGTAGTGTATAGTAGTGTAGTGTATAGTGTAGTATACTAGTACAGCAATAACCGGTGTGTTGGAGAGCCAAGCCACAACATTTACAATCTGAGTACGACGTTTCGCCAGTAATTACAACCAGCTTCATCAGGCGACAGCCAGATTTGTGGAGAAGTCCTCCCGTCTCGTTCAGGGACAGGTGTGATGACGTCACACGCGAGCCCTTCACGAGCGGTGCGCCCACAGATCACAATGGGCGCACACAGATCACAATGTGCGCACACAGATCACAATGTGCGCCCACAGATCACAATGTGCGCACACAGATCACAATGGGCGCACACAGATCACAATGTGCGCACACAGATCACAATGTGCGCACACAGATCACAATGGGCGCACACAGATCACAATGTGCGCACACAGATCACAATGTGCGCACACAGATCACAATGGGCGCACACAGATCACAATGGGCGCACACAGATCACAATGGGCGCACACAGATCACAATGTGCGCACACAGATCACAATGTGCGCACACAGATCACAATGTGCGCACACAGATCACAATGGGCGCACACAGATCACAATGGGCGCACACAGATCACAATGGGCGCACACAGATCACAATGGGCGCACATTGCCCGCTGGGTCATTCCTTTGGTAATCAACGTACAGTGCACGCAGTACAGTCGGCATGCACATTGTCCTTGCAACTGAGATTGTCCAGGTACCGGCGATCCCCATTGACAGCCCTCACTGATTGGCTGTGGCGGGTGGTGGCGGGTTTAACGACACATTTATTTATTTACGTGATCTAACCCAAAACACCTCTTATGGATATTGGTCGCGTAAGCCTATACGTGTTAAACTGGTTTGTTGTTGTTGTTGATGGTGGTGTTGTTGTTGTTGGTGGTGTTGTTGATGGTCTTGGTGGTGTTGGTGGTGTTGTTGTTGTTGGTGGTGTTGTTGGTGTTGTTGATGTTGTTGGTGGTGTTGTTGGTGTTGTTGGTGGTGATGTTGGTGTTGATGTTGTTGGTGGTGATGTTGTTGTTGGTGTTGTTGGTGGTGTTGTTGTTGGTGTTGTTGGTGGTAGTGTTGTTGTTGGGAAGTCTCCGCTCTCTCTCGCTCCGTTCTCGCAGCAGGGGGCGGCAGTCGCCACGTCCGTGCCGATTTAATTATGTTCGATTGAGTTTTGACTTTGCTATGAATGATTTTAAAAGCAATTTGTCCGAGCCAACTTTCGTTTAAGGAAATAAACTCGTCATTTATATTTGCGTCGTTGCTGTAACTTTTGTTTTACTGCGTGTCATTTTGTTGACCGACCAAACCACTCGCGCCAACGAGACTCGTGGTCTCTCTCTGTCTCTCTCTAGAGGTCTCTCTCTGTGTCTGTCTCTCTGTCTCTGTGTGTGTCTCTCTGTCTCTCTCTGTATCTGTCTCTCTGTCTCTCTCTCTGTCTCTCTCTCTGTCTCTCTCTGTATCTGTCTCTCTGTCTCTCTCTGTATCTCTCTCTCTGTCTCTGTCTGTCTTTGTCTCTCTCACTGTCTCTCTCTCTCGAGGTCTCCTCTGGTCGCCACCGCCACAGTCGACACTCGAGGCGGGGCCGTCCGTGATTCTTCGTGCAATGGGATCGCGACGGACGTGGCCCCGCGTCCCAGGGAGTCGTCGGTTCTGTCGCTCGTCGCTTTAGCAAAGTCACCGGGGGAAACCGAAAAGCCGCTCGCAAATCATCTCGACCGAATCGCTCGCCAGTCACGCAAGTCGATCGCTCCGCTCCTCATCTATGGAACCAAAGTTGTGGTGATTTAGTTTGCGGGCTGACTGACGCCATTGAGGTGCCCGAGTGAAGTTGAAGTGGAAGCTGATCGAGACATTTGGGATGAATCTCTGGCTCCAGCGCCGGCCACGCGGACTGCCTGGCAGCCACGAGACGAGAGAGCACTGGCCGCGGTGCCAATTCCTCGTTCCTATGGACAGGCAACCTGAACGGACTCGAGTCGGAAGAGCGGAGCCGAGTCTCAAGTTGGCGCTTCATTGGGGGGGGAGGGCGAGGGGGGAGAGACCCCCACCAGCCGCTACCCCACCGGCAGGGTCTCCACATGCAGCTGAACACTGCAAGGAACGGACGTTCATGAACCCATCTGTGCGGAACGGCAACTGTCGCGCGTTCGGGACGCGTGGGGTTGCTATTGGCAAACGTGACGCCCTCATCACTGGCCTCGGTCAATCGTCTCAAACCGACGAATGCCGCGAGAAACTCCGACTTGGCACGCAACCAGTAGCAGCAGAACACAAACGTTCCATTATTAACGACAGTCACAACTCCACGGTCTGGTATCTTATTATCGATTACTCAACTCCGTGACTCACACGGCACAGTAGAGACCGCGCACGCAGCGGTGCAGCAAAGCCCCAGAGCGGTGCAGCCAACACGATCGAGCGATCGGGAATTTAGCAAAAGGTTTAGGCCATGAATGAGTTGGGAATCGCCGGTTCGCGCACGGTCAAGACTCCGTACGCCGCTTTGCAAATGGGACCCCCGCATGAAGCGTCGGTGCGAACGAACACAATCTCGTGAGAAGCTCAAAAATACAAAAATATAAGAATAAGCCGCACTCCCTGGCGAGACCGCACGCCCCCCGTGCACAGTGCGCCGCGAGTGAGCGGGCAGCTTCGTCTCGAGTCGACTCCCAGGAAAGGGCCAGGGGAGCGGCAGCCCGCACAGAACAATGCCACGGAGAATGCGAATGGCGGTGCCACGGCACAAGTGGAGATTGCCGCTCCCCTCGCACGTGTCGGATGTGGCGACTGCCTTCACGGCTGATGACAGCGACCGAGTGGCCGGCCCTCGACGAGAGAGGAGCAGCTGGTGAGAGAAGCGGCGCAAGGGCATCCACCGAGCAGCGCGTTGATGTTGCTAGCGGCACGGCGGGAGCGGTCTGACGAGCCTGCCCGCTCACGAACACTCGGGGGAGTTGACCGCACGAGACCCCCCAGTGAAGACTCGCGCTCAAGCTGCTCTCGTGACGCGGCACAACCGGTGGCCCCTCGGCCTGGCGAGGACGCGGATCTGTCGGCCGGCCCCTCGGTCTGCGACCGCGGCCGCTTCCGCCAGCTCGCCCTCCGAGAAGACGCCAACGGCCGCCCGACTGCGTGAGAGGTCGGCGTCGTCGTGAATTCGAGTCTAGTCGCGCCACCCGATTCACGCCGTCAGACTCAGCAGCGCAACTTCGCCCCTTGCGATTGAAAACTTCTCGCAGCAGCGGATTTCACAAAACCACTTCTGAACCCTGTTTCGGTTTTTATCCGCGCTCACCCACGCATCCTGTTCCAGGGAAATGTTTCTTCACGAGACAGAAAAACTGGAACTGCCGATAATAGAAACGCGCCAAATGTAATTTGGCGGTGTTTTTGTGCGGTGGTGGGTGGCCGGGGTCAGACCGTCAATTCGCTGCAGCTGCGAGCAGCCGCTTTAATCACAGACAGCTGAGACCTTTAACTTTGTCCCCATACCCAGCAGAGCTGCCACACCGAGTCGTAGGACTCGGGACACGGGGACACCTGTGACACTGTGGACACCTGTGACACGGGGACACCTGTGACACCTGTGACACGGGGACACCTGTGACACGGGGACACCTGTGACACGGGGACACCTGTGACACGGGGACACCTGTGACACCTGTGACACGGGGACACCTGTGACACGGGGACACCTGTGACACGGGGACACCTGTGACACCTGTGACACCTGTGACACGGGGACACCTGTGACACGGGGACACCTGTGACACGGGGACACCTGTGACACCTGTGACACGGGGACACCTGTGACACGGGGACACCTGTGACAGACACCTGTGACACCTGTGACACGGGGACACCTGTGACACGGGGACACCTGTGACACCTGTGACACGGGGACACCTGTGACACGGGGACACCTGTGGCACGAGGGGTGGGGCTGTCGCGCCACGCTTCACGTCCCATGCCCCCCACCCGCTCCCTCTTTCTCTCCCCAGAAGAGCCCCGAGCTCAATTCCAAGAAACAAAAACCACCAGCAACGCTCTCCGTTCCTAATCGGCCGATATCGCTGAGCCAGTTTCCCTTTCCGGCTCCCGGACTGCGCTGCTGCCACTGCAGAAGCGCGCCCAGTTGCGTGGCGCCTCAACAACCCGCCCCGCTGCCCCCCACCTCCCCGAGTGCGTGGCGCCTGCTCCTCGTGGCGACTGCGTGGTCCGCTTCTGGCACTGCAGGAAGCGGCCCCAACCCGACCCGAGCGCAGCGGCAGCGGCTGAAGAGGGACGGAGAGACCCGCGGGGGAACGCAGCAATAACGCGGGGCGGGGGGACGCAGCCTGTCGAATGGGAGATGCTGACTTTCTGGCTGTTTCCACAGCGCTCATGCCACGTGCAGTTTCGTTTATTCGAATTAACATTTATCGGATCAGCACTCTCGACGGAAACACGGCCTATGGCTGCGCGACACCGCTCAAATTTCCCAAAACGCGTAATTCCTTGCTGATGACGAACCCGCGGGGCGATGAGGCACGGTCAAACAACCCCCACACCCACATCGTGGGGGGTGGGGGGAGAGCTCATCCAGCAGTGGATCGACAAAGGGCTGCGCTTGTCGGTGGCTGACGGTGGGCGACTGGGGCAGTGAGAAAGCTTCCCCTGCCGGCTGCCGACAGCCAACGGGAGCTTTACATTTCATCACTGCCTCTTTTAACGTCCCAAATCTGTTTACACTAATTTCTCCGAATAAGCTCCTCTATAAATATCTCTGTACATTTCACAATACTAGAGGGTAATAATACACGTTCCCGACTGAACATTATTGGAAGTTGGATTCCACTAATATTAAGGGGAGCATGTGTGTGTTAGTGGTTTGTGTTAGTACAGTGTGCGAGTGCTCCCAACGTCTGGGTGTACCCAGGCCGTTCAGTCCGTCCCCGTGGAGTTCTCTTCATCTGCCGCTGATGGTCACATAAAGGAGCCCCACTGACTGACCTGGCAGCAGCTGTCTGGGGAAAACTCATCATGCTCATGTCTTAAAGAGTCATTTTGTCAACTGGATTGCATCTCCAAGATCTGGCCAACCCTCGCATCAATTCTGCCGCTTGTCTCCAGGAGAGGTCCGAATGGCAACACACGTGTCCATGAGAGTTTCGCTCGGATCGGGTCACCGTGACGCCAGCTCCACAAGGCCACACAGCTGATAGAGGAACGCTTTGAACGTTGGCTGGAAAGCTTCATCAGAGGACTGCATCCCACGTGAATGTGAGGGAGCGTGTGTGGAGGTCTGGGCGTAGCGTGCGAGAGACTGTGGGAGCCGTGCCTGTTATGTGCACATTTTCGTAAATGGACACTTGAACACGGAAACCACAGGAGTGCGGTTGTGGCCATGCACCAACACCGCGAGCCGCAGCAGCAGCAGTACAGCCACTGTAGTGTGCGCTCCTCCAATGGAGCACGAGCAGCAGAACGACACCGACTCTCTCTGCTGAGGCCCTCTCGCCCTGGCCAGCAAACCTCAGCGTCGCCATTCGGCTCGCGACGTGAACCCTCTTGCTGCCATGATGGGCGAGAGTAGCAGAGACACACGCCCTGTGCCACACTCACACTCACTCTCTCACTCACACGCATAGACAAATATCCTCCGTGTAGCCGTAATCAACTTTTGAGGCGAGTGCTGTTTGCGAGCATATATGGAGGCACACGAGGGGATGGGTGGCAAGAACCACACCGGCAGCCTTTGTCTCCTCAGTGGCGATGTTTACACATCGCAACAAGTGCGCATTCGATGCTGAGTCGACCTGGGGGAGGCCTAGGAGCGGTTCAGATAATCGTGGTGGCCGTGAGCGGGAATCGAACCCGGGCGTCAGGGCTCGTAGTGCAGCGCGCTCGCCGTTGCCCGACCGCTCCCCGCACTCGGCTCTCACCCCCCCCCCCCGCCGTCGCCTTTGCGTTGCTGCGCTCACACGCCACGGATCGTCCGTGTAAAACAGCCGGGAAACCGGCTGGACCGGAGCATCCGTGAAACGTATCAACTCAAATGCTCTCACTCACACACGCTCTCTAACACGCACACATGATCTCTCTCGCACTGTCACTCGCTCTCCTCCACTCACTCTCACCCACCCACCCGCTCTCTCCCTCACCGGTCATGAGCGCGTCCAGCATGAGTCCCAGCACCATGTGTCTCTAACACACACACACTAACACACACACTAACACACACACACTAACACACACACACTAACACACACACTGTCTCCCTCACCGGTCATGAGCGCGTCCAGCATGAGTCCCAGCACCATGTGTCTCTAACACACACACGCACTGTCTCTAACACACACACTAACACACACACTAACACACACACTAACACACACACACTAACACACACACTAACACACACACACTAACACACACACACTAACACACACACTAACAACAACAACAACCGCCATTCGCCACTAAGTGGCGGTGACGTCACCACGATGCTTGTGCCAGGCCAAGTGCACCTTGAGGCCACGTGAAGTGTCGAAAGCCCGCTGGCAGGAGGTCACGGGGCAGACCCAGGTGCCACTGGTCGACTGACCGAGATGACCGAGATGACTGGCTGATGCACCACCTGTGCCCCCTACTGTGCCAACTTGCTGTGCTTTAGCCACCCGGCGCTCCGCTCGTTGTTGTGAGCGTCGCTCCTCCGCCCTCCGTTGTTGTTGGAGGGCGACTGCCTCCAACTGCCCAGTAGCGTCCTTCACGAGCCTCCTCCACTGAGGCCGATCTTGACACCGCTGGTACCAGTCATCGGCAAGTCCACTCAGCTCCACGTCCTCCTGTACCACATCACTCCATCTCTTCTCTAGCCCGTGCCGCGCCCGTCTAGCCCCCTCGATCCGGCCGAACAAAAGCTGTTTAGGCATGCGGTGGCTGGGCATGCGGGCTACATGACCCAGCCAACGCAGCCTTGCCTGCCGGAGGAGCTCACTGATGGGACTTTGCCCAGATCTTTCAAGGATTTGTGAGCTCCTCACACAATCCAGCCTGGTTAAACCCAGGATGGATCGTAGGCAGGCCAGCCTAAATGTTTCCAACCGGCGAAGATGCTCCACCAGGGGGGTCCACGTCTCGCAAGCGTAGAGAAGGGAGGGAATGACCGTGGCCGAGAAGACCTGAAGCTTCGTGCGGAGCGACAGACCAGGTATCTTCCACACAGCGTTACGCAACCGATGAAACACACACTAACACACACACTAACACACACACACTAACACACACACTAACACACACACTAACACACACACACACTGTCTCCCTCACCGGTCATGAGCGCGTCCAGCATGAGTCCCAGCACCATGTGCGCGCTCAGCAGCGCGGCGGCCGCGGGGCACGCCTCGGGGTCGGGGTACATGGCCCCGTAGCCGATGGTCAGCTGGCTCTCCAGGGCGAACAAGAAGGCGGTCAGCAGCCCCGTGAGCTTCTGCACGCACACGGGGCCCGCGGACGCCTCCCTGCCGGGGCCCAGGTCGCCGTGCAGCAGCGCCAGCGCGTACCAGGCGAGGCCGAAGAGCAGCCACGAGAGCGCGAAGGTGGCGCCGAACGTGAGCAGCATGAGGCCCCAGCGCAGCTCGAGCAGCGACGTCCACACGTCCCCGAGGCGGCGCAGCGCGGCGCGAGGGCCCCGCGGAGCCCAGCGCAGGTGGCACGAGCCGTCCCGGCCGATCAGACGGCCTCCGCCGGGGACCCCGCCGGCGCCGTTGAGACCTCCACCGTGACCTCCACCGTGACCTCCACCGTGGCCTCCACCGTGGCCTCCACCGTGGCCGTTGAGGTTTCCTCCGGGGTCTCCACCGTACCCATCGCAAGGGGAGACATTCTTGGAGCTCAGACGACCACTGGAGGCCTCGGTGGCACCCGAGTCACTGGGGACCCCCCCGGGCGCACGAGGGACGCCGTGGGAGCTGTGCCCACCCGGGGAGCCGGGGCCGGCCGGATCCACTGGGAGCCCGGCCTCCTCGGCCAGAGACACCCCCGCCGCCACCGTGGCTGCGAGCGGCTCAAGTCGAGTCACCACTCAGTCACTCACCATGGACTCACTTCTTATCTGGCTCGGGGTCTTGGCTTTGCCTGCACTCCGGTCCGCGAGTCTGGCTTCTTCCAGTCGTCTGCGTCCAGTCTGGTTCCTGTGTCCGTCCCTTGTCTGGGTTCCACACCTCGAGTTCCGCTCTGGCTACAGAACCTGGGCTCTGCTTTGCAGGTCCCAGTCCCCTATCTCTCGTGGCAGCAGCAGTAGTCGGAGTGCCTGAGTCTGGTTGAACCCTGGTCGTGGTCCCAGTGGCTCCACTCTCTGTGAGGCTCACTTCTGCTCTCGCTCCACTCCACGCGGTCGCGTGGGGGTGGGGGTCACGCTACCACGTGACGCCGATTACTCACGAGATCGTCCCCATTGCACAGCGAGCCGGGCTCTGCTGATGAGCCACTGATTGCTGAAGCCGGTACTGGGTTTTCTTGAGTGAAACCAGAGCGGCTGAAATGATGCACTCCCAGAAGGTCGTGTGGCTGATGGGATGTGTAATAAATGTGTGTTCATCTGGAGGAACAGATACGAGATTGATGCATCAAATTATGACATCACTTCAATTTATATCTCCACACGGCATCCCATGCCAATACTGTCCACCGTCTGTCTCGGGACCGTCCACGTGTCACCTCTGTATCGAAATCTCAACTGAACGTGTGGCCATCATGATCGTAGCCACCACCAATCTTGCAATCATCGTTATAATCTCCATTGTTGTTATCACTGAAATCATCAAATAATTGCGAAACGCATCGCAATATTTGCCCCCTACTGCGAAAACTTGGCAGGACCCTCCTAAAAGGGGCGCTTGAGGCTTTCCTGGGCAAACACGCGGATCCATTAAAAACGGCGATCATTAAACCGGAACCATTACAACAACAACGACAACAAAGCCAGGCTCGTTCGATGTTGCTCTTTAGCTCAGCCTACGCCTGACGTCGTCTTCATCTTTACGAACACCGACCCCCCCCCCCCCCCCTGTGTCCATGCGGCGTCTTGAGACGCGACCACGTGTGCTCCTTATGCAACTCGAGACGCGGTCTCGGTCAGACAGGACCAGCTGCTGTCAGTGCTCTTGCGATGCGCCCCTGTGGTACACATCTGGTGACTGCTGCCGGGGCTGTGCACCCGAGCGAGAGGTCACCACCACCAGCAGCAGCATCAGCAGCGTGGGGACATCATTGCATTGCAGGACCCTTGTGCAATGCCAGACGCCGTGGTCTCTGTGCGAGTCTGTGTCTCTGAGTCTGTCTCACAACCACACACACAACCACACACACAACCACACACACACTCACAACCACACACACTCACAACCACACACACACACAACTACACACTCACACACACACAACCACACACACAACCACACACACACACAACCACACACTCACACACACACAACCACACACACAACCACACACACACAACCACATACACACATAACCACACACACAACCACACACACAACCACACACACACTCACAACCACACACACACAACTACACACTCACACACACACAACCACACACACAACCACACACAACCACATACACACACAACCACACACAACAACAACAACCGCCATTCGCCACTAAGTGGCGGTGACGTCACCACGACGCTTGTGCCAGGCCAAGTGCACCTTGAGGCCACGTGAAGTGTCGAACGCCCGCTGGCAGGAGGTCACGGGGCAGACCCAGGTGCCACGGGTCGACTGACCGAGATGACCGAGATGACTGGCTGATACACCATCTGTGCCCCCTACTGTACCAACTTGCTGTGCTTTAGCCACCCGGCGCTCTGCTCGTTGTTGTGAGCGTCGCTCCTCCGCCCTCCGTTGTTGTTGGAGGGCGACTGCCTCCAACTGCCCAGTAGCGTCCTTCACGAGCATCCTCCACTGAGGCCGATCTTGACACCGCTGGTACCAGTCATCGGCAAGTCCACTCAGCTCCACGTCCTCCTGTACCACATCACTCCATCTCTTCTCTAGCCCGTGCCGCGCCCGTTTAGCCCCCTCGATCCGGGCGAACAAAAGCTGCGGTGGCTGGGCATGCGGTGGCTGGGCATGCGGGCTACGTGACCCAGCCAACGCAGCCTTGCCTGCCGGAGGAGCTCACCGATGGGACTTTGCTCAGATCTTTCAAAGGTTTGTGAGCTCCTCACACAATCCAGCCTGGTTAAACCCAGGATGGATCGTAGGCAGGCCAGCCTAAATGTTTCCAACCGGCGAAGATGCTCCATTAGGGGGTCCACGTTTCGCAAGCGTAGATAAGGGAGGGAATGACCGTGGCCGAGAAGACCTAAAACTTCGTGCGGAGCGACAGACCGGGTAGCTTCCACACAGCGTTACTGCAACCGACGAAAATATATTGCCGCTCGACTGATTCGGAGACCTCTGCTGTTAAACTGGAGCCGGTCATAAGCACACTAGCCAGGTATGGGAAACTCTCCACTCTCTCCACTACTGCCCCATCACCGATTGGGAGTTGTGGGGGTGGAGTGTCCGATGGTACAAAATACCCAGGCAGGTGCTTAGTTTTGGTGGGGCTGATGGTAAGGCCCCACCTCTTAGTGGCACGCTCCAGTCTCAGCAGCAGCGTCTCTAACTCCTCCTCTGAATGAGCAGCTATTACCAAATCATCAACCACACACTCACTCACACTCACAACCACATACAACCACACACACACAACCACACCGACGTGTTGATTACTCTTTCCCAGTATGTAATCTGAAAGCAAACAATGACATTCAATCAATAACAATAACGCATCCGAGAGCCATGATGGTCTAGCGATGCTACTGCTATTATTGATGTTGCTGCTGATGATGTCAATGGTTGTTCTTCCAGGAGTACACAAATAAGTTGTTCGCGATACACAGTCGCGACACGACCCCACGACTCGATCAGCCCTCCTGCCTGCTGACCGCGACCGCTGCTCCAGACTCCGCGGCGTCTTGCCTCTCCTGCTCCGAGGCAGCGCCTCTGGAGCAGAGGAGCTGCCTCGGGCGACACGTCGCGGACTGCGGCTCTGGGTCTCGTCGCACGGCCGGGAAGCGCTCGGGTCTGCCACCTGTTCCGGGTTGACCTGGTCAGGTCACGACGCGGCATCTGCGTGTGTGGGGGGGGGGGGCACGACTCGGCATCTGCGTGTGTGGGGGGGGGGGAACGACTCGGTATCTGCGTGTGTGGGGAGGGGGGCAGGACGCAGAGAAGAGCGCGGTGCTGATTGGCCTGGAGCGGTTGGTCCGCGGTGCAAAGGACGGTGGCCCTGGTAGGCGCCTGCGATGATTGAGCAATGAGCGACATTCATGAGTTACACTTCACCACTGGCGGCCGGTTGATGAGTAAACTGCTGACCTTTACCACGCAAGTAACATTTTAAATAAAATCAATAAGCAACCAATTCACCTCCTGCCCGTGTTTATCTAAAAAACGAAAGTCTTTTTTTTGGACACATCTCATTCACGCACAGCCTTCTAGGGATACACATTTTCAGCAACAATGGTTTAACCCGCGCAAAACTCGATATTCATTCTTATTATAATTGGTTCTTTACCCTTCTATCTGGCAACAAAACTGACACCTTTTTTTTTGTTGCCAGATAGAAGGGTAAAGAACCAATTATCATATTTTTACTGGCAAATGAGGTCCCCATAGTGAATTCATTCTTATTCTTTGGTTCTTTCGGTAAAGTCACGTATAAAGAAAAATAATAAATTAAATAATAGCATACGACGTTTCAGTGTCTCATCAGCAGGCAGGCCATTCGACGTGTGAAACTCTTATTTGTCATGTGGTGGGAGAGGTACGGGAAGGAGGCGTGATGTCGGCTCGTCGACCGTGTTACTTACATCCTCCACAACGACGCTGGAGATTGTGTTACGTTAAACGTGCGAGTTTAGTTCATAGAGAGTCGTTATGAAATCGCATTTTACAATCCCTGGGGAACTAGAGACAAGCAGGAAGGCAGCCAGTCAGTTATCTGGCGCGACCAAAAATTACTCAAGATCTGCAGTCCTCTATATATGAAGATGTTTTCAGACAATTAATGCGTGTTTGCATGTGGGAGGAAAGTGGAGCAGTCGGGACAACCCACTCGTGCGAGGGGACAACACTCTATCCCATACAGATGGGACACGTGGCGTCCACATTTGTCCGTGCTGCCTTCTCCTGTCGAGCCAACGACTGGAATTTTGTAACATTTGTGCGATCCACTAACCCTCGCTGCCTCCACTGACACCGATGGGGCAAGGGGCTACGGGCAACATGGGCAGCAGCAGACGAAGCTGGGAGCGCAGAGAATGCGCTTGGGTCAGATCGAGAAGCTGCGGCCTGCGGCGAGACGGCGCCTTGACCCTGGGCTCTCCCGAGGCGCGGTGCTGGAGGTTGATCGCCGTTAATCATCAACCCCGGTCCACCGATGGTGACCCTGCGGGTCGGTGGCTGGGAGGGAACTCCGCAGGTGAAGGAGGAGAGCTATAAAGGAGGCCGCTGCACGGAGCGGCCCTCGTCTCTGGGTGGTCGCGCTGCCATCGCTCGCCGCACCTGCAGCTCCCAGCGGCGCCGAGTGAAGGTATGTGACGTCACCTGTGATCACGTCTCAGCGTGGCACCTGTGATCACGTCCGAGTGTGGCACCTCTGATCGTGACAGTGTCCCAACGACCTGAGTTCCATTCCCATTGTTGTCAGAGTTTGGAGAATCGAGGTCAAGTCGGAGTTGGGAGTCGGGGTTGAGAGTTGGGGTTGAGGGTCTGGTTGTGCTTTCGCTATGTTGTCCCCACCTGAAGAAGGACGCTGGTGTTGCGCCCGAAACGTCGTGATTTAATTTATTTGTTTTCTTTTTTACCTACGTGACTTTACCGAAAAAAACAAAGAGTATAGTCTGGTTGAGAATCTGGTTGAGAGTCTGGTTGAGGGTCTGGTTGAGAATCTGGTTGAGAGTCTGGTTGAGGGTCTGGTGAGGGTCTGGTTGGGGGTCTGGTTGAGAATCTGGTTGAGGGTCTGGTTGAGGGTCTGGTGAGGGTCTGGTTGAGGGTCTGGTTGAGAATCTGGTTGAGGGTCTGGTTGAGGGTCTGGTTGAGGGTCTGGTGAGGGTCTGGTTGAGGGTCTGGTTGAGGGTCTGGTTGAGGGTCTGGTTGAGAATCTGGTTGAGGGTCTGGTTGAGGGTCTGGTTGAGGGTCTGGTTGAGGGTCTGGTTGAGAATCTGGTTGAGAGTCTGGTTGAGGGTCTGGTTGAGGGTCTGGTGAGGGTCTGGTTGAGGGTCTGGTTGAGAATCTGGTTGAGGGTCTGGTTGAGGGTCTGGTTGAGGGTCTGGTTGAGGGTCTGGTTGAGAATCTGGTTGAGAGTCTGGTTGAGGGTCTGGTGAGGGTCTGGTTGAGAATCTGGTTGAGAATCTGGTTGAGGGTCTGGTTGAGGGTCTGGTTGAGAATCTGGTTGAGAATCTGGTTGAGGGTCTGGTGAGGGTCTGGTTGGGGGTCTGGTTGGGGGTCTGGTTGGGGGTCTGATTGGGGGTCTGGTTGAGGGTCTGGTTGAGAATCTGGTTGAGAGTCTGATTGAGATTCTGGTTGAGGGTCTGGTTGAGAATTTGGTTGAGGGTCTGGTGAGGGTCTGGTTGGGAGTCTGGTTGAGAATCTGGTGAGGGTCTGGTTAGGAGTCTGGTTGAGAATCTGGTTGAGGGTCTGGTTGGGAGTCTGGTTGAGAATCTGGTTGAGAATTTGGTTGAGAATCTGGTGGAGAATCTGGTTGAGGGGATCAGTGTGGGCCCCGAACCTCCTCCGCGCCGCTCACGTCGTTATCTGTGTCCGCTGCTCTCTGGACTTCACCCTGCACCCTGCAGCCTAACCTGGAGGTCAGGACAGGTTCGGGCACCAATCACCACGACGCCCGATTACTTTTATTGCGCTGTGGCCTGGGACGGCGAGGTCAGCTTCACCCGCGGCGGTCGCGTGGGGGGGGGGTCAGCCCCCACGCCGCCCCTGGAGTGGCGCCAGGGGGGAGAGGAGGCGTCTCGCCCCGGTGCCCGCTCCACCCTCCGTGACAACAACAACAATAATAATCCCCAACTCGGACGCCTGTGTGTGTGTTGTGTGCGAATAATGTAACTTTTTTAATTACTTATTTTTGTTACCGTTCGCGGGTGTCTGGCATGCGGCGGAGAACACCACCCACCACGCGTAGAGGCCCGTGTGAACCCGTTCCCAAACCCACTTGCTGTACTGCCTACTCCTGGCGACTTCGTAACCCGGAGTGTTTTGGAGTATCACCAATCCGAGTGCTGCTCCATGACTGGGTCAGATAATAGCCACCGGTGTTGGCTGTGAGTGGGAATCGAACTCGGGTCCCCAGTTTGAAGCGCAGGCCGCGAACCAAAGCACTCCCATTCCACACCCGCCCTCACTCGCACAGCCACACTGCAGGACAATCGGAGGACACACTCCACACACAGTCGCCCAAGTCTGCAATCGAACCCAGGTACTTCTTGCTGAGACATGAGTGTTGCCAATGCACAATAATTAAAAAAGCGTCTTACATTCGCATCAATTATAACTTTGATGGTGCTGTTTTTGGCCGGCTGCCAGACGTTTTGGACCTTTGGGCCCTGTGCTCAGCAACTGCATTTAAAACGACAACAACAAAAGTCATCGGCCGTGATGGGACAGCGACATGCTGCTGGTTCCCTGCATTTTCTAGACGCTGTGGACTTGGAGAAACCGGGTCAGCTCCAATTACAAACTTCTCACAGCTCCGCTTTTCTGCTGAGCAGCGATGTTTATTGTCCAATCCAACGACGCTGGCGATAAGCCTGTCCCCGAGTCTTACGACACGCAAGAAAGACCGCAATGTCCCTGCTGTGAGGGTCACAGCTCACCAAGGGAACACAACACACGTCTCTCGCGCCCCCTTGCACAACGACGACTCCGATGATTTATCCATTGGAGCCCCACGGAGTCTCCGGACTTGTTTTAAGGACGGGGGCACGTTGCAATGTTCGGCTATTGCCAGGAAGGAGAGTTCTGCAATTGAGTCGCGAGTGTTTTGAGGGATTTGGTGTCAGAGGGTTCTGCTGCTCTCAGTGTGTGTCCCTCTGGGAGTTAAACGACGCTGGGGGGTGAACGTCGCATTGTGGGTCGGACTAAAAGACGCCCAGAGTCCCACCGCTCGCCACGGTCTCCCCGAACAAGGCTCAAGCGCAGCCCCGCGCTGCCGGTGAGACACTGAATGTGGAAACCGACCAAGAGTTTTGCTTGTGCGGCTGAAATGATGCACTGCCAGATGGCCGTATGGCTCATGAGATGCGCAACGCAGACACGTGTGTGTGTTCATGTGGAGGAAGAGCGATGGGAGGGACGCGCGTTGTCTGCTCGTCGACTTCGTTACTCTCCCCTCGGCCATTCTGTGAGCAGTCGGGGCCCCAAGTCCTCGAGCAGCGCGGTTTATATCTGTGGGGAAGAAGCAATTAGGGCAATTTGGTGCAGATTGCGCGTGACGAGTCCTGTGACGCCGTTTGCATTCATTTATATCAGAGATCACTGTCCCAAAATTAAATTGCACTAAAAACTAAACGGTACAATACCATCCCTGCCACACATAGGCACCGCAGTGACATCGACATTGGGGAGAGGATGACGGCTGAGGTTCGAGGCTGACAAAGGAGGAGTCTCCTCCCGAGGAGAGATGGAGCCACGAAATGAGCTCAGGGCAGGTTCCTTCCTCACGAGACCGTGAGATGGTGGTGGTGGTGGTGGTGGTGGTGTCTTCATCCAGCATTGGATAGAGCCTGGATACTGGTGCCGATGGCGGTATGAATGAATCTGTCGAGGGGCATCTCCTCGGGTGACTCGACCTGAAAGGAGTAGCAGGTGCAGAAACATCGATGGAGAGACAAAGTTGGATGGGTGGTGGTGGTGGTGGCACCGGCCTGAATGGGTGCTCGCTAACACTCCACGGACGCGGGGCACCTTGCGTGCTGCGTGCTGCGTGCCGCTGCAGGAGTCGCGCGAGGAGTCGCCATGGACAAGCAGGACCCGGCGACCCAGGAGCTGCTGGCGATGGCGACGCCCTCGTCCGTCCAGCGGCTCGTCAACAAAGACGGCAGCAGCGCGCTCACGTCGAGCGCGCGGCCCAGCTACCTGCGCCGCTACCTGCGCGACATCTGGACGACGCTGGTGGAGATGCAGTGGCGCTACATGTTCCTCGTCTTCTCGCTCACCTTCATCGTGAGCTGGCTGCTGTTCGGCTGCCTGTGGTACCTGCTGGCGCTGGTCCGCGGGGACCTGGACGTGGACCCGGACGACCCGCCACCCAACCGCACGGTGTGCGTCAAGTACATGGGCAGCATGACGGCCGCGTTCTCGTTCGCGCTCGAGACGCAGCTCACCATCGGCTACGGCACCATGTACCCCAACGGGGACTGCGTGGAGGGGGTGGTGCTGCTCGCCGTGCAGATGCTGCTGGGCCTCATGACGGAGGCGCTCATCACAGGTGGGGCTCCTCCCGTGCTGCAGTCCTGCGCCGGACCCACGCCGACCCGGACGGTCCTGGAAGCGGATTGGATTCGAGACCATCGCTCCCGTCTTGTTTTACTCCTCGGCCCGCCCGCCACACGCGACACGTGCCCACCGCACCGTGAACGCGAGTGCTCGAGGGAATGTTAGGGATGAGCAGCATTGTACCTCTAACTCGTGTATCGATTGACGATCGTAATAGATGTGGGGGTCGCACCGCGTGAATAAAACGTGTGTCGTGCACCCGCCTTCACCCGACACGTATTTGAGAGGCCTCTGGTCATCCACTGCTGGATGAGGGCCTTCCCAACGCTATGGCGATCGCGGGAGTTGTTTGACCATACTTCACCACTCTGGTCTCAGTGCAGATCGGAGAAGGCAGAGATCATGGGCGCAAAGGAGTAGAACCACACCGTTGGATTCACCTCCACCCTCCTCTACTCCCAACGACGTATACCTGCAAATAAAAACAATAACTCAGTTTTTGTTACCCGTTCAGGAAGCCTTTAGTCTTCGGACTATTTTTCAGAAGTGTTCTGCATTGTGACAGGGCTCAGAATCGGTTGGCCTGCTGACCCGGAGAGAACCTTCGCCTGTGAGGGGGTAACGCAGATTAACAAAGTTGGATTTCATTTGTCGCTGTACTGCCTGGCCACCGTGCAGCCCACGCTCGTGTCCCCCGCCTCCCCCGTGTCCCCGCCGGCTGATCCGCCCCGTGCCGCCCCCAGGAGCGTTCGTGGCCAAGATCGCGCGCCCCAAGCTGCGCGCCGGCACCATCCGCTTCAGCGGCGCGGCGGTGGTGTGGGGGGGCCGCGGGGATCAGCGCCCCCGCCGCCGCCTCCTCGCGTTCCGCGTCGCCAACCTGCGCCCGTCGGCGCTGCTGGACGTGGCCGTGACGGCCGTGCTCTACCGCTCGCGGCCGGGCCGCCCGCTCCGCCAGAGCGCCGTCAACTTCCAGCTGGACCGGCTGGGGGCCCGGCCCTGCCCCTACTTCCTCTTCCCGCTGACCTTCCACCACGAGCTGGGCCCCGACAGCCCCCTGCTGCCGCTGCTGCGAGAGCCGTGCGGGCAGGAGAAGTCGCCGGTCGAGCACTTCGAGCTGGTGGTCTTCCTGCAGGCCATGCAAGAGGGGAGCGGGCAGATCTTCCAGAAGCGCACATCCTACGTGCGCGGCGAGATTCTGCTCGACGCGTGCTTCCGCCCGGTGATGTCGCTGGGCCCCGACGGGACGTACGCCACCAACATGGCCTGCTTCGACGAGACGGCGAGCCACGGCGTCGACGGCGTGGCCCTGGAAGGCCTCGACGGCGACGAGACGGTGTGAGGACCTCCTCCACAACGGCACCGACCGAAGAGAACACAAACATCAAGGGCGTTGTCTCTCCATTGCTCTCTTGGTTGTTTTAACCGGCCGGCAACTCAGAGGCAGAGAGAGAGAGGAGAGAGAAGAGAGAGGGTGCCGATGTGATGACCTAGGTCACGTGCGAGCTGCCAGGACTCTGAGAATGCAGGTGTAGAGATGGGCAAGTTGAGCAACATTCACCATGGCACCGTGCGTGCACCCAACCACACATCAAACACTCAACCAAACATACACCCAGCCACAGACATCCACCCAGCCACAGACATGCACTCAGCCACACAGACATACACTCAACCACACAGACATACACTCAACCACACACACATCCACCCAACCACACACACATCCACCCAACCACAGACATGCACCCAGCCACACAGACATGCACTCAGCCACACATCCTCGTGCGTGGTGGGGGGAGTGCGTTGGGAGGGAGGGGGATCAAAATAATTAAATAACTCGATTGCCCGGCCTTTTTTTTTTATCTAATTTCGAGTTCTGTAACTATAAATAAATTCTGTAAAAGGCACGGATAGCGGCTGATGTTTACGGTTATACTTAAGGTTTAATTACATCAGATAATTGAAAAACTGCATTCATAAGTCACTCGTGCAACATTTATGACGATGCAAACTCCACGGCACCCACATTACTGCCACACTTCACAGTCAAGGCAGCGGATTCATTATGTACGGTGCGAAAGAAGTTCAACACACATACACATCAATTTGCATATTTGCAAAAGAAAAGCGCATGTCTAATCTTAAAAACGTGAAATGCACACATTATGTTACAATTAAAAGACTTCGATTATGACGGCTTTCGAGTGGCGTGCATTGACTAGGAATGGGTGCCGAGTGTGAGCAGTGCACCACGTGGCGGCGCGCGAGAAAGTCGAGTGGAGAATTCGTGACGTGCAGTCGACCCCAATTGTGACGTCACAGACCCGCGGCTCCCGTGCGCCGCAGATTCCCGGGAAGTGGAATGGCGGCGTCTCGGTGCGGAACGACGTTTCTGAGCGGACAGCGGCCTCGTGCAGCCGATCAAAACTAAGAATGCGCGATCCACTGTCGGTGCAGGCCTCATCATCATCATGGGTGCAGATTGCCTCTGCGGCCACGAGGTGTCGCCACAAACTACAACGTTGGAGAGTTGATCTGCTCATGAATTTAATTGGGAGCCCGATTCGTGACATTTCACCGAAATCACCTGGGCACGTGCGAAGGAGCGCCTCGCGCCCGTAATTGCCGACCTGCTATGGCTCGCTGTGGAAAACACCAGGGGGGGGGGGGGGGGGGGGAGTCCTAATTGTGCCGGGGTGGAGGTGTATCTTAACGTGACCCCAAAGGGATCTTCACCGTGAGGGGTGGTGGGGGTGTGAGCGGTGTCTGTCCAGACGCCCACCGGCGTGTCCAGGTACGGCTAAGAATCACCCACACGCATCCGCGCGTCGCTCTCCCTCCGGCAAGGTGGCCGATCGTGGCGTCGCCGGAAACCTTCCATGACGCAGCAGCGCGTGGGCAGGCTGGGGTCCGACGACTCGCTGGCGGGCAGTCGATGTCTCGCAGCGCAGGAGAACTCGCCACGATGGAGCGCCCCCGGGCACCGTGGAAGTTCCTTCCCACGGGGTTATCCGCGTGAGATATTCCAAGAAGTAAAATGTGAACGTGAAAACGTACGGCTCACAAGCACGTAGCAAGGCAACCACAGGGCACGGAGGGCGATTTAATCTCCCACGTTAACATTCACCTTTATTACGGCCGAACGATAAGAGCCAAACATGTACATTGCCGTACAAAAAAGTAGCAAACTCAGACTCAATAATAATGTAACACTTCGTACAAATCGACAAAAAAAATCTCTATAAAAAAATATACAATCAGAACATAGCTTAGGTCCCAGGAATCGTCGGGGAGGGTTACAGTACACTCGCAGAGCCGGTGAGCCGTGGGGCCCGGCAGGCTTCACGCGAGCCTAGACCGTTTGCTCGCTATGACCGGCATTGGCCAGGTCTGGCTCCATCACCACGAGCAAAGGCCGCTACCGCTCCTGGGCCTCGAGCTCAAGAAGAGTAGGGCCCTGCCTAGGCCGTGACAATTGATTCACCTTCGTTCACGATAAATAACGGAGTTGTGCGTCGTCAGCACGTCTCTTTAAAGTCTCGAGCGCATTTCCTCTGCCGAGCCGTACAGCTCGCCACGGCGCCCAGAAGCGTGCGCTCCAGACGTCCTGCATATGGACCATCAACCCTGAAAACATTGCCGTGGTCCACCAATCTGGCGATTTGCAAAATCAAAATCGCAGAGTCACGGCGCTGCCCAGCACCGCGAGCCCTCCGCATCGGCGTGCGGCCCGCGGACTTTGCTTGTCACCAGGGCAGGTGGCGTTTGACATTTTTAGCCAATGTGGCTTTTGCCACAGCGGTGACTCGAGAGTACGCGAGCGACACGGCGAGCGACACGGCGAGTGACACGGCGAGCGGCATGGCGAGTGACACGGCGAGTGGCACGGCGAGTGACACGGCGAGAGGCACGGCGAGTGACACGGCGAGAGGCACGGCGAGTGACACGGCGAGAGGCACGGCGAGTGACACGGCGAGCGACACGGCGAGCGACACGGCGAGTGACACGGAGCGACACGGCGAGCGGCACGGGCGGCGACGCTGTGCGGGACAGCTCTGCAAGGGCACGACTCGAACCCCGTCCACGCTTGAACGGCGAAGAGGGCTCCTCTCGCTCGCATCCTCTTCAAGCGACTGTCGAGATGTCGATTAGCACGGACACCATATGAACTCTACAAAGCATCCACGAGGCCTTAATCCATCATCCCCCTCCCGTTCGCTTGGAACACTCCGTGTCGGGATTGCCGATGGCGCCGTGACTACGGAGCGTCCGTGCGCTGGGCTGGTTGCCGCGGTTTCCCTGCTGCTTTCCAACGCGTTCTCAGCTCCTGCCGCGTGTTGTTCGGCACGTCCGACGTTTTCGCTCCACATCCCTCAGGGGCTTTTTGGGCAAATCAACGGGACATGGTGCCAGGCAACACACGGTACGTCTCAAACGCGCGTCGGAGATTCAGCCGTGCAAGGTCCACATTGCACATTGACCTAATTAACTGCCGCGTGTAAATTACGATCAAAGCCTCGTCCCCTTTTGAGGTTGAACATCGAGACCTGAGCGATGTAAATAATCACGTTACAAATTAAAATCATGATTACCGTGTAACAACCGCTATGAGGATTTTTTTTATGCAAATAAATAATCTCGTGAAACGATGAAGTCAATAAACAAGACAAACGCGAGGGACTCCATGGGCCTTCATCACCACCACCACCACCGTCACCACCGTCGTACACTCGCAGTGTCACGCTCGCACAGACATTGTGTGCTCACCCACCACTCCCCGTGTGCCACGCGTCACCAATTTCTGCGCGCTACCTCACACAAGGGCTCAATCCACGACGGTTGCCGGAGCACGTGACCACAGCCGACCGCTTGGCACCACCCTCACGGTGCTTTAATCTGACCGTCAACATCAGCCATGCTCAATGCGCTGCTGGGCAAAGGCCTCCACCCAAGCCTGCGCCAGCTCGCACGCGGGCTTCGCCACAACCTGTTACACCGCTCCATCGCCACGCCTGTCCCTCCCAGTGCACGCTTACTTTGATCGCGTCGCTCAAACGTGAGCGCGCATCGGCAGCAGCGCCTTGCTGCGAGCGCGAGCCGTGCCGCCCCTCTCTCACCGTGCGCGTCGCCCCGTCCCCGGGCCTCGCTCCGCTTTGCGTGCATCTGCTCGATGGCTGAATGCGCGCTGTGACACTGTACTATTGCCTAGCAACAGGAGACTCGTGTCCGGTCGCCATGGTAACTGAGCAAACGCCACAAACCGATGTAATCCCACGCCACGCGGGCGGGAGACCGTGACCCCGCGGGGGTTCGCTGGCTGGTACCATGCCGCCGACTGTGTCCCACATCATGGGTTTACGAATCCACGGTTTTGTTTGAAACAGCACCTTCTTCACCAACTCCCGCATTGATCGGCGTGGTGAAGTATGGTCAAACAATGCCCAAGGACGATACGGCACGGGATGCCCTCATCCCGCAGTAGATCGATAGAGGGCTGTCGTGCCATTTGTTCAACTACAATATGGTTGGAATCATTTACAGGTTGGAAAAAAATGGACACATCTTTACAAAAACGCCACCAAGTCCTCCCACATGCGAATCGATGTGGAATTGGCGGCTTCTGTTAAAGGAGTGGAGCCGGCTCCCGTGCTGGCTCCACTTGCGGTCACTAAAGCCGGCGGCGTGGGCATCGCTTTTCGGCCACAGACGGCCGCACGACGACCACGGGCGGAGAGAACGGTGCGTCGCGCCGGGTCCTTCCAGTGGCCAGACGTTGTGCAAATCTCTCCCGTCGGCCGCCGCAACTTTGCGTCACCGCCCCCGTCCTGGCAAACTCCAGTCCCCCACCCCCACGGGCTGGAAATAAAAATACTGCGCTGTCGAAACAACTATTCCTAACCATCCTCTTTGGTTGTTTCGCTAAGTCACGTAGGTAGAAATAAAATACAATAGAGTGACGTATTCCTACCCACGTGACTTTACCGAAAGAACCAAAGAGTATGGATTCCTGCAGTCCCGAAAGCTTCAAATCAAGATCCCGCGGAGATGCGACCTTTCCCCCCGTCGGGTGCCCACAGCTCCGACGGTGCCGTCCTCTGCTGGCCACCTGACGTTTTGGGCCTTTGCTCAGGAATCGTTTTTCAAAAACAAAATTAAAACCCAAGCAGCAGGAATCCGTGCATGGCCTCGGGATGAACGCAGGTCAAGGGTCAGAGCGCCACGCGAGGCGAGGAACTCGCGGCCACTCGGGGGGCCGCTCGGTAACGCGACCGGCTCGCCGCGGGACTCGCATGGGCCACAGAGAGCCACGGCCGCCGTGCCTGCATAACGCGCTCACGGAAGCAAACAACCCCGCGACAGCATCACGAGCCACGTGCAGGGAGACTCGCGGGATCGGCGAGTTCACCGCAGTGCTCTGCCACGCGCCGCTGCCGTAGCTGGCGCCTCCACCGGTGCCGGGGCACGGCGTCGGAGCGTGTTTGGCGACGCGGCACCGCGCGACATCGGAACAAACTGCGGAGACGCACGACCCCCGCATAGCCATCGCCGATTTGGCATACGTAGCGACAAGTCGCCGAGCCGGCACGCGGCAGAGAGCAGACGACAACAAACCCTGACCACGCGCAGTGCAGACAGCCACTCTGGCGCCAGCGCGCTCCAACATCGACGATTAGAACTCGCAAAACCAAGAGTTCACAAACACGGTGGTCACGTCTGGGGGGGGAGGAACGAGGGAGGTGGAGCCGTCAGCAGTCCTCGGTCGTCGCCTGGAGCTGCTTCCAGAGCTGCAGCAGCTCCTTGGGCTTGAACTTGTGCACAGCGACCATCTGGCGCAGCAAGCACGGCGCCGGCAGGCGGTCACCCAGCAGGCCGGTGAGGAAGCCATGCGACCGCAGCCCCCACGTCCGGAAGCCGTGGTGGTTGTGCGTGGCGATCCCCAGCCGCTCGGCGCAGAAGCCGAAGAAGACGTCGTCGATCGGGTAGAGCTCCATCTCGCGCGAGACGCCGTAGAACTTCCTGACTGGTGGCCGCGGTCATGAGGATGCTGCCGCCGCTCACGTACGGAGGGTACACGTTGCTGCTGTGCATCTCCTCGGGGACGTAGTACTTGCTCATGCGCGTGTTCACGCGCTCCGTGTCCTTGATCACCAGGCCCGCGTAGAGGTCCTCGCTCATCGGCAGGAGCCGCAGCTC